TCGTTTTAGGACTCTCGATTTAACATTGAATTGAATCGCGTCTTATCATAAATTATGCGCGAGGTATAAATAATTGCATTCGAGGAATTAATGATAAGGTCAACAGGGAGTCAAGGAGAAATAAAGTAAATAATGTTTTACATATTATGCAAATGATAGGTCGTGTATCTCGAGTTATATCTATTTATCGTACCTATAATAAAGAAATTGTGTACACTGAAAAAGACATTGCTACCTTTCAAGTAATATTTACTTGATCCAAGTGAAATGGTCACTCCTATACTTTTTCGCAAATGTTTATTAAAAATAGAGAAATATAATTGACTATATATATACAATAGTCGCCTCGTATAAGTAGATATTTAATTGTATGTATTAAAAATTTATTTTTAGAAAATACACTTACTGGACAGAAAAGTCTAAATTTAACATCGCTAGATTTCGCTTAGAATGAATAAATACTTTCTTAAACACAGAACCATTTTACAATCATATTCAGTAATACATTTACAAATTTCGATATTACTACGTTCAAGTAAGACTATTCATTACAAACTATATATGTTATATAAAATATTCTTAAATTGATAAAAACGTTACTCGATTTATGAGGCTGAAAAACAGGTGACGTTACGTTTACTTGATTCCAGCATTCCCCTTTTCCGCCTACACCGGACGAAAGTCAACGCGACGATGAACGTGTTAATATTTTGACGACCGATGCCACTCACGCGGTAATCATCTCCTCAGATAATGTTCTCGGAGGGCTCGGCTTACACGTGATGCTTAATAAACGCTCTTATCCGGTTCCGAGCGAGTTCTTGAAATCCGACGGAGGACCGGCAAAAATTTCAGCGTGCGATAAGTGGAGGTATTAATGAGCGTGACGCGAGATAAAAGGGGGCGCGGACCGAAACGTCCTTAGCGAGGGTCTCCTCTGTCCATCGGGACAGAACCGCGGACTTCGGTAGGAATAGCCTTCATTTACGTGACCCCACGGATATTCGCGCGGCCGCCGACGGAGGAGGAGGTCTTATCCCGCAGGCAATTACCGCGGATACTGCCGTAGGGGCAAAACCGGCATCCATTATTTTTAACCTCGCGACCGTGCGCGACGGCGGTTGGTTACCTCGGATTCAATTCGAGCGAGCGAGCGTGCGCGCGCGCGCAGGGTGGAGGCGTAATGCCTGTTACTCGCGCGCCCAGTTCCCCGGCGTTGGCCGAAGACAGGTAAGAGCGGGCTTTGTTTCGAAAGCAATCGGTCTTCCGCGGGATCTCCCACGACCGCGGGCCCCGCCGACGATTCATGACAGAACAAATTACAGATCGGCAGAAAAAGACCATCAGCGGCTCGTTCGCGGCTACGCTATTCGTTCGTTCGTTCGTACGGCCGGCGTTCGTAAGCTTCGCCACGGATCTACCCCTGCGCGCCGGCGGAGCCGAGAGAACAACGCGCGCGATACAAAGTCGTGAGGGCAAATTAATGGCGGCCATAATTTCGGCCGATAGTCGGGATGATGATGTATCGGTGCTAAATGCAACGGCGGAGTCGCCACGCCGCGATTATTCACGGAACGTTAGCCCGATCTCTCAATCGCGACAAGGACGCCGGCGGGAAAACGCTGAAAAAGCGCGCCCTCCGATCGAAGCACGACGCGCCGAGTGTAGCTCATTTTTTTTTATTATTTAAAGTAGACAAATATCGGGTTTATTTCGTTCGAGAGGTCAATTGTTCAGGTGACATCTGTAATCAGCCGCATGTCCGGCTGGCGGTCGAAATCGATACTACTAGTCCGATCGAAGCACGATGCGTCAAGTGTAGTTAATTTTTTATTATTTAAAGTGATCCATTTATTTCGTTGGAAAAATCAGTTGTCCGGATAATTAAAAGTGACGTCACTAATCCGAATCCGATGCGCGCACGAAGAAATGTGGCTCGATTCGTAGATGAGCGAAGCGGAGAGTAACTTACACGACTTCGAGAATCTCGAAATGCGCATCGAGGAATTGCGAACGGCTAGCCGGTAGCAATAGCAGCGATAAAAGCGACAGACAGGAATGCTCGAGTCGGTTATTGATGTATGTATCGGTCAAAGGAACGAGCGAACGTCGCTTATCGCGAGTCTGAGATAGCTCCAGTCCTAGTTGCACTCGAAACGAGCCGGCGATACTCCGCGATACTCGAAGCGGCAAGAAGCTCCGCACAACGAGTGATCCACCACCTCCTCCTCCTCCTTCAAACCGGTGCTCGTTCGTTCGTTGGAGCATTCCGGCTGTTCCTTCCTTCCGAAGTTCCGGGAAGCTAATTTACGGGCGTCGGGCTCGCGGCCGAGGTAACTCTTCCACGAACGGATATCCGCGCAGAGCTACGTAGCTGTAGATCGACTCCGGTGAGAAAGACGATGAAGAAGTAGAAGGTGAAGGAGGAGGAGGTACGCGGCCGTGATCGCGGGCATATAACGAGAGCGGCGTCATCAGCGAGATTATGATTCGCGGCGTCTCGGGACACAAACGGAGACACGCGGGGCTGCTTTCGACTGACTTATTTCGACCCGTTAGCCCAATTTCTCATTCCCCGCGCCAAGGACGACCAGGACGACTTCTGTTCTCCGTAGTCACAACGGGGGTAGACCGGGCGTCCACCGTATACCGGTTATTATCTTTTCGCATTTTTCGGCCGAGATTATTCTCGAAACGAATGGCCCTCTTAAGCCTCCAGACCGGATCATTAATCTGGGTTCGAGGATGGCCGGACACGCCGTGTGTCGGAGGGAGAGAGAAAGAGAGAGAGAGAGAAGTGGATGAGTGCCTACAAAGACCTCAGTTGCGCCGTGTGTGCCATCTCCACAATCGCTCTTTCACAGAGTGATTTAAATAAAGGGTAAAGGACACCTCAAGGCTGACGGCAATTCCGTTCAATTTATGCGCGCAGACCCGATATATAACCCCTCCCTCATTTTTTCCTCTTTTCTCCTTTTCTTTCCTTACCGTTTTTTCTCTTCTATTTTATGCACCACGCGGCCGTGTCTCGGGGAGAACGGGAGATAAGTTTACACATTAATCAAAAGTGGAAACCGTTTCCGAAGACACCGCGCCGCGCGGCGTCGATCCGAGCGCGAAATCAGTTAACTTTGAAGCACGCGCGCGCTCGCCATAACTCATCGCACGCTTTCTTTCCCGGCCGCAAATTATCTAGCGCGAGACGTTCGGGCGAGAAAAATTCACAGCCGAGCGAAATTTCAATTAATTCAATTACACTTCGACCACTTTCCACCGCGATAATATCATATAATTGTGTCATTAAATCTATTATATCGAGCACCATTTTTCCTACGATAAACTTATCGAAATTTCGCCAAGGGAAGGTCGGCGGTGAACGTGAAGACGCAATGGTTATTAATTACTTCACATCCGATTATTGAACTTTCAATTATTCCAATTTAATCGATTACCGTTTCAATTGCCTTTCACTGCGACAACCTGCCCGCGCATTCATCGCGCTTGTTACAGAGCGTAATTTTCCAAATGGAAATAATCGAGAGATTTCGCCGAGAGAAGATCCGATCGCGGACGGGAAAATGTGGACAGCTGATACAAGCTCGCGCGCGTGTGATTGCCAAACGGGAAAAAGACGAGCCCATTCACCGGGGCCGAGAGTGACCGCTCACGTCTACCTGAACTCGCCATTGAGGCGCTGGCCTCCCGTGTACTACAACGCGGCCGCGGCGCGACGCTTCGCGCCGCTGCTGCTGTGCTCGTCGTCAAGCGCGCACGACGACGTTCTTGAGGGACAGTAATGAATTCTATTCTGGCCGTCCGTCCGTGCGTAAATCAATTCTGACGGGCTGAAAGAGTTTCCGCGTCCGCATCGACACCAGGAAGCGGAAATCCAAGATGTACCACCGGCGGATCGAAGCGGCCGGCAGAGAGAGGGCAAGAGGGCGTGAGGCAAAGGGGAGGATCGTCATTTATAGCAACATTCTGAGCGCGACGCGCCCGCCGCCGACGTTGCTCGATGTGCTCGGTAAACGGCGCCGGCTGATGATGCGTGCGGGCCCACCGGGAGTACAATCGCGGCTCCGACCTCCTGCTTACACACCTGGTCGCCTCCTCCTCCTCCGTGAGGATAGCCAGGGACCGCCGGCAGGCGGATCTTGATTCACTGCCTGGAGTAACGCTCGTTCGAACTCCGGCAGTTCGCGATACTCAAACCTTCGCCGCGCTCGACTCGTGTCCGCCGTATTTTCGAATCGTTATCCGCTCGGCACGCCGGTAACATCCGCGACGTCGCGCGAGTCTCGTTCTTTCTCCCTCGCACTGCTCGATAAATAACTTTACATACTGTTTATTATTCTTTCGTCGCGGTTAAAAGAAAAGGAAATACTCGAGGCGGGGGAAAAAAATATATAATCCCTGTCACTGTGCGCAACGCGATGTTTTCGATCGAGAAATGCATTTTTCGGGGATAATCCAAGTTAATTCGAATGAGTCTGAAACTTAACGTATAGATGTGCCCCGAGCCGTGGAAGCTAATTTGTCACGTGATACGTATCTCTCACGAATTACCAGCGACGCGAACGATATGTCAAAATTGTACGATTTAAATTTTATAATTTCATAAACTTTCCGACACTGTAAAATGTCTAAAATCAAAAAATGTCATTTGTTCATTACTCACGTATACGTTTAAGACGTACACCTGCCAATAGATTCAATCAACATAGGAATTAATTTGTCACTCCGATATATCAGAGGTTTCGGAGAACAATTCGAGGGATTGCGCGCGGTTTGCAAAAATACACAACACTTTCGTCATAAATATCGCATCCAGCCGACGGTAACGACGGAGAGAACGGGAATCCGTATCAATACGATAAATGGATTTGTCGACGGCAAAGCGGCTTTTTTGCGCGCGGCCGAGAGGCGGACTCTTCAAGGGATTCGATCCGTCGCGGAGATCGCCTTGAGCGTCACATTACGAATTATAAGAGCTTACTTACGTGTTCGTCCACGGAGTACGTCAGCTCCCCGTCGTCGTAGAGGACGAACCACCTCCGTTGCCATCTCTGAAACACAGAAATCACGCCGACACTTAGTGGAGGACATTCACAAGCCTCGCCGCCTGAACATCACATCGATGAAAATTAACCAGAACGAATTTCGCCCGAGGGAATTTCCAACGAAAAAAATTCACCATCTCAATTTCACGCGAGGCGATAACAAATAACGAAACGCGGGGGGAAGCTCACGAATTTTTCTCGAATTCTCGACTCTCAGCATTACAATAAAGTAACTAGGCTTATCGAGGATAATTATCGCGATCCCTGTAATGATTTCACAAGGGATAGGATTACGGTCAGCGCGCGCGCGCGCTGGGAAAAACGCAGCGGGAACTTTCCACGGTGCGGCTTCGCAATTTTCGTAGAAACGTAGCATTCTTACGCCGGGAGAAAACAATCTCGTGCGAAACCCCGAGGCCTGAACCTGTTCGATCCGCCTTAAAGAATCTCCAAAGGCCTCCCGCTACGTCAGCTGGACAATTAGCACGCGGCAGCCGTTAATTAGAAACAAAGTCGACGGGGAGGAGCACGAAGGAAAGAAGCAACACGACACGCCGGCAGCAGCCAGTGACGGCGGATCGTCACGATTTCTCTCTCGTTCGCGGAGCCCCGCGAAAAACTTCGTCGCGCGCCGCTTTTCGCGCCGCTTTTCTACGATCATTCGCGCCGGCGACTTCGCAGCGAGCGACTTTCGCGCGCGGGACCCCCGGGCTTATCGCTTATCGGCGAAATTCATCGTTCGAATTTCCGCCGCGACGGAATCTTTCCCGCCGAGTTGAAAGACCTGCGAGAGAGCCGTGTACCCACCCGTAGGATTTCTATTTCCACTCTGTTGAGAGAGTTGCAGACTTGAAAATAAGTTGTCCGCGACCTATTAAAAAGATAGATAGATATAAGAGCGTTTTCTTGACATTCTAAGGTGTGCCCTCCGAGGAAGTGAATACACGCATGAGTTGAGGTGCGTTTAGATTAACATAAAGAAATATACAGAGAGAAAAGGACGAAAATAAGTATTGAGGAAAGTAAGTAGATGCATAGAGAGACATAAGGAAGACAGCAATATGTGTAAGGAATTAATATAAGAAACAAAAGGTGTCGAAACAGAGAAGAATTGGATTAATAAAATAAAGTTAAAATGAGAAACAAGAAATTCCGATAGCGTCTCAATGGCCCCGCATAGAAATTTATCCAGATTTTCCCAAACACAGATCTCGATCAGAATACTCCAAGTTATCCCAAAATCGATCCCACAACGATGCCAATTCGGAATCCCATTCTCATCCTAAATATGAGACGAAACCTCTTTTCCGCGATGCTGATCGACCCTGCGCTGCGGTGTGCGGCTGTCAGAAAAATGCGGTTAGCGGACACCTCTCCGATTTAACACTACTGTCTTCTCCTTCTAGACGCAAAAACAAACAAGTACGGCGCTCACCTCGGCCTTCAACTCCGTGAATCTGATCATAGATCTAAGAGCCTCCGTTTTCACAGTGAAAGCTTTCTGCTCCTCGAGCCTCGCGACACGTGTCGTCGTGCCTTCACATTGTCCCCGCGTTCAATCCGGACGGGGGAGTTCATAAAAGCGGCGCTTTCACCGCGCGTTACCCGCGCGAAGATTTACGCTCCTCGGCGGGGATACGCGCGAATTTGACGGGCGCGCAGATTCGATGGAACATCGCGCGGACGTTTATAGAGCGAGCGACCGCCGTGAGGTTCGCGCGCGGCGCGATTGTATGCAAATTACGGTGCGTAACGTGTAAAGTTCGCGCGCACACGCAGTATGCGACCGGCCGTATCGCTTGACCTCCTTGCACCCGCGTGGTGGGCGCGCGACGTATGCTGCGTTGACACAGAAAAGCCGATACGCCATTTCAATTGGACTTGCGCGAGCAGCGAAATATACGAGAGTGTAATATCCGACGTTTTTATAAAATCATATACTGAACGCACGCACACATACGTACACGCGCGCACGCATAAACATAGGAACTCATAGCGAGGCGTTATTAAACCGCTCTCGCGGTCTACGGAGATTAATTAAGGAAAGTCAATCGGGAAAAGCTCGCGCATAAGCGCCTCTTTCACGCGTTTTCCACACGTCCTCGTCGCCGGCCGTGCTAAATAAAGCGTTGAAAACCGTTACGTAGCATTGGAGCGACACCAACGCGCCCGATCACACCGCGATCCCCGGAACCGACGCGGTCGAATCGCCGTTCTTATCCGCGAAGGGACATGTCGTCGTCCCCCGCGGAATAGGCACATAGGTACCGTTGCAAAATCCTCGCCGAGGGACCGCCGGCGAGGAAGAGAGCGAGAGAGAGAGAGAGAGATTTCAGCCTACACACACCACGGCAGCGGTATCTTCATCTGGTAATTATTCACTAGGGGGCCCGTACGTGGACCCGGTACGTGTGGACTCCGGCACGTGCGTGGGAAGATCTCTCTCGCGGAGGAAGAGAGGAAGAGAAGAAACGGCGGCAGGCCGGACGACGCAATGGCCCGACCGACGACACAATGCGCGCGCGAGAGGATTAAGACGGCACAAGGGAGAGAAAGCATGGGACGACTCCTCTCCTCTTAGCCTCCCGCCGCTTCGCGCGCAATCTCTCGCTCGTGTGCAACGCGCGCAACCCGAGCAGCGGAACGGCGAGATTTCGGGTTCTATATTGAAAATAGGATTCAGGCGTGATTTGACGGGAAACCACCCAGTTTTTTGCACGGGAAAAGTTAATATTCATTGAGCGAACTTCTAAGGCGTTTTGGTCGGAGGTAATTCATGATTATGAGAACCGAATTTGGCTAACGTAAGAACCAGAAATTCCGTTTCTCTCCACGAAAACGCACTTGGTTCGTTCATCGTCAGGTAAATACAACCAAACTGTTTCTCCGTGCAGAACTATTCTGGTTTCCCGTCAAATTACACACAAATTGGTTTTCAACGTAATTTCCGTCAATTTTTCACGTGGATTCCTCAAATTTTCGCGTAAGTTAAACCGAACCTTCTTCCCGTGATTTCTACGATCCTTTGCCAACGTTTGAATAGCATTCTTTTTCACCGTATGATATCGTAGAAATATCGTAAAAGAGTTCACCATCAACGGAGACAGAAAATCGGACCAGACTTTTTCACTGACCCGATATCTCTCCTTCTGTAAGGTAAGTTAATTTAACTGATTTATATCTATTGATGATCGAACTGTTAATTGCGGGCCATTAAAAAAAAATGTGAGTACAGTCGTGATAATGTGATTCGAGATGTTAGAAAGAGCGAACGTGGGATTATCCTGTTTTATGTAATCATCGAAGGACTCGGAGAGACCTCTGCAGACTTCGTTAATGGCGAAGCGTTCTCTAGAGAGCGCACGTCGTAATTTCGTATATCGGGGAACCCGCATAATCTTGACCTACCGCATCTTCCTGGTTTGAACGAGCGGCTGTTAATACCGCCTACGGTCTCGAGGCCTTTCTCGTTCGACCAGTTCCGATCATTCGGAGCAGTCATCGCGAGGATAGCCAAAGTTCAGCGCGATAACATCTCGATTGTACGACTTTTCCTAAATGCGTGCTCGGGTTTTCAAAACAGACAAAAGAGACAAGTGTCTCCCACGCGCGATAATACAATAAAAATAATAATTTATTAATGTGAGAAAGTGCCTCTTAGTTAAGTAATAGAAAATATCCGTGACGGAGAAATGAACCATTCTTTTTCTAATTCTTTCTTTTTCATTATTAAATTCGTAAGCAAAAATTTTATTTAACGCATAAAAAAAATGTACACAGAATTGACCGGCAGTGCTGTAATCCTAGTAAATCTTCTTGATACAATAGCAATATTATTGAAATTAATACATCATACACATTATTTCGCTAATTTGAGTATTAGTTTCAATGACATCGCTATTGAATCAAAAAGATTCGCTCCAATTACGGCGCTGTAGACCAATGCTATCGATACAACGGCACTATTCTCCAATGTAGAATTTTCTTTCTTTTTTCCGTGGAATTTTACCAAATCTGCATTCGCTCCGACACGTTCGTCGATTTATCGAGCAAAATTTTATTCCAAATCCGGACCTCCCTCCGCGATAACGGACCGAAGGCGCGTAACACATCGAGATGTCGCGATCACGGGGGTTATTGAAGATCGTCGATCATGCGACCGATCGTCCCGCCATGTCGATCGCGGCAGAGCGCTGCGAGGTGTTCGTGACGAAGTAACTCGGCACCGAATGTCCCGACTTCCCCTTACGACTTCCTGGTCACCGATCGCGGCCGTATCTTCACCGTCGCCGTCGTCGTCAGGTCTCTGTTCGTGTTTCGCCTCACGATCTTGCTGGCGTGGCTGTTAGCGTGGCGTGCTACCATGCGGAGACCGTCGCCGAGGTTGCCGAAGGGATCGACCGGCCGATCCCCGACCACAACGGTAACGTGACCCAACGCTATTCCGCGCGATCCCCCATCGACGGAATCCGCGATTCGGCCGATCCTCTTTTCCCCGTCCGGCCCGAATAACCGGAATGAAACATCGCGGATCCTTCATAAGGGTTCGCGGTGCACCTTGGTACCGTACCTGCGTTCGATGCTGCGCATTGTTCTCGACGTTCCCGTACTCTGTAACTCGCACGGGCGCAACGCGATACTTCGTTTGCATTCGCAGTCACGTCAAGGTCTCGTATAAACATTGCGTTTTTTCAATCGAGATTATAGCATCTTTATAAAATAATTAGCGTCAAAACGATTTTTTTAAAATATGTAACGTCTTTGATACTCTCATATTCCTCGCGCGGGTACCACGTGAAGAAACATATCATCGCTATTGTAGAGAGGCTGCCGTTAACTTCGTATAAAAAACGGTGTGTTAATGTTTGAGGTTAAAACAATTGCATAAAATAATTAATCAAAAATATTCTTTCACACGTCACGCTGTGGAAATTTATCGAAGATTTTTTTTTTCATTCTCGGGGATGTCCGCTGATGTTGAATAAAGCGACGCGGGGATTTGCCTC